TTATGATTAGACTGACTTTACAGGATGGATGAGGACCACAGAGGTAAAGTACCACTTTTTTATATAAGGAATTAAACATGATTTATGACTTTTGATGTTAAACTTAAGACTGACTGAAGTAACGTTATCCAGTTTCCTGCACTGTGATGTTATTCTATTGTCCTTTTCCCTGTATTGTACTCTTTCAAAGAAAATTATTTATGAACAGCTCACACTTAAGTTATGACTCCTGCCTTAGAAGTGTCTTTGACATATAGCCATTGATTTTTGTATTTTGAGTACTTCCTTGCTTTCTGCTGCTACATTATGCTAGGCTCACCTTGTAGAAACATTAAGTCATTTCTCCTAGAAGGGCTGGTTCCTTTGATTGGCTAATGGTACTGGAAACCAAGAGTTGGACACCAAGATTCTTGCTAGTAGGGTGTCATTTCTATCACAGGCTTTCAGCAGAAGAGAAAACATTAGCTGTGTATATGCTAACCCATGTACATACACATACCTACAAATGTTTGTATTTATGACCATTTGTCACTGTATTAACACAGTGTCTCCAACTCTAGTTCATTGCCACTTGGATGATTTTAACCTACCTTCCCTTAAGTTCTCACACCAATAGTGAAAACCTGGTTCCCACCATCTTCCATTCAGCATTACTTACTTGTTCAATTCCAGTGCATGTGCATGCTAGGGTCAGAATCGCCATTCCATCTTCCCAGGAGGAACAACATGATCAGGCAGTGAGGTTCAACACTGTGCAATTCCTTTACCTTTGGCCTTGTGGATGCTCTTCATTTCCAAGGCTGTGCAGATCTCATTTTGTAAATTTCTTTTTTAGAAATTTGTACTATTTTCAGTTTGGCAGAATGTCCGTAGGTTTGAAATTGTTTTTATTACATATATTTAAGGTGTACAAAAAGATGTTTGGGTGAACAAATATGTAGGAAAATGATTACTAGAGTCAAGCAGATTAATACACCCTCCCCCCACACAGTTCTCTTTATGGTGAGAGCAGCTAACATCTGCTGTCTTAGCTCATTCCCAGTATAGAATAGGTTATCAGCTACACTGAATCCTCGAATACAACTTCAACTTTTCACATCTTGACCGCCTTCTCCTCACCACTACCTCTCGCTGCCGTTAACTACGCTTTTACTCTCTGCATTTACATTTATTTAGATTTCAGGTAAAAGTGAGATCATGCGGTACTTTCCTTTTCGTGTCTGGCTTATTGTTCTGTACTTCCCCTCCCACACATGTTAGTGAGCCTATTTCTGACCTTTCCAGTACAGGTAGATTTTCTTGAAACAGTCTCCATTCTTTCTGGGATCCTCCAATCTCTTAAAATTATTATTTGCATGCATTAAGGTTCACTCTTTGTGTTGTATAGGTTTTGACTTGCATCAAAGGGTTGTGTCACAGGCTTTGATTAATTCATAACGTCATATCTTTACTCTGACGGTATTGCGCAAAACAGTTAGACACCCTAAAAGCCCTCCTGGTGTATGTGTTTATCCTCCCACATATCTTCCAACCAGTGATCTTTCTGCAATCTTCATAGTTTTGCCTTTTAGAATGTCATATAGTCAGAATTATAAAGTAGCTACTGTTTTCAGATTGGCTTCTTTCACATAGCAATTTGCATTTGTTTCCTCTGTGTCTTTTTGACTTGATAAATCTCTTAATTCCATTTTTTAGTCGAGGTAAAATTCACATATTCTAAAATTAAGAATTTGTAAGTGTATAACTCAGAGGAATTTAGCATTTTCACATTGTTATGCACCAGTCTCCTCTTTGAAGTTCCAAAGCATTTTTATCACCCCCAGAGAAAACATCGTAGTCATTGGTCACTCTCTTCCTCCTTAACTCCCCCTCCCTAGAAACCACTGACCATAGATACTTTCCATATCTATGCATTTATCTAGTCTTGCTACTTCATATACATGGAATTATATACTATGTGAATCTTTGTGTCTCTCTTCCTTCCATTTTGCATAATCTTTTCAAAATTCACTCATGTTGTAGCATATGTCAGTAATTCAAATTCATTTCTTTCTATGGCAAAATAATATTCCAATTTATGTATATATTTCCTTTTACTTGTTCACTTATTAATTGATGTATGTTTGGGTTGTTGGTTGTTACCAACTTCTAGCTTTCGGGAATATGCGGCTATGATGTTTGGGTGCAAATATATGTTTGAGTATATGTTTCAATTACTTGGGTGTACACATGTACCTAATAGTGGTATTGTTACATCATGTGAGAATTCTACTTTTGACTGTTTGAGTAACCATCAAACTGCTTTCTATGGTGCCTGCTTCTTCTTACATTTCTATCAGCAAGGTGCCAGTGTTCATCTTTTCTACATTTTTGCCAACACGTGATATTTTCCTTATTATAGTTATTACTGTCGGTGTGAAGTGGTAACATATTGTGGTTTTGATTTGCATTTCATTAATGACTAATGACACTGAGAATATTTGTGTACTTGCTGTCCCTTTGTATACTGTCTTTTGAGAAATGTCTTCAAGGCTTTGTCAGTTTTTTGATTGGGTTATACTCTCTTTATGGAATTATAAGCACTCTTTGTATATCTTGGATATTAGACCCTTATCAAATGTATGATTGGCAAATATTGTCTCCTATTTTATAGGTCATTTTTTCCACTTACTTGGTTATCTTTTTTGATGCATAGTTTTTAATTGTGATAAAGTTCAATTTACCTTTTCTTTTGTTATTCTTCTTTTAGGGTCATATCTAAAAATCCATTGCCAAATCCTAGATCATGATACTGTACTCCTATTTTTTCTAAGATTTTTGTAGTTGTAGCTCTTGTATTTAGATTACTGACCCATTTTGAATTAATTTTTATAAGTACAAAATGAGGAAATCATTTTGAAATGAGTTTTTATGCAGTATGAGACAGGGGTCTAACTATTTTGCACGTGGGTATCAAATTACCCTGTTGAAAAACCACTGGCCATAGATCACAGGTTTATTTCTAGACTCTTACTTCTATTTCATTGAACCTTGAATCTATCTTTGTGTGGTAGCAGACTTTTTTGATTATGATACCATTTTAGGAAGTTTTGAATTTGAGAACTGTGAGTCCTCCAACTCTCTTTGCTTTTTAAATAACATTTTGATTATTCACAGTACCTTATAGTTCTATGAATTTGGGAATAAGCTTTCCCATTTCTACAAAAATGTAGGACTGTTGGGATTATATTGATTCCATAGTTCAATTTGGTTATATTGTCATCTTAAAACTATTAAGTCTTTCAAATCCATGAACAAGAGGATGTTTTTCCATTTTCCACTTTATGTATCTTATTTAATACCTTTTAGCAATGCTATGTAGTTCTCCATATATAAGTTTTTCATCTACTTAGCTAAATTTATTCTTAGTATTTTAATCTTCTGAATGGTATTGTAATGGCATTGCATTGTACTGTAGTTTCTTTTTGGGTTATTCATTGCTAGTGTATTAAAAGACAGCTGGAGTTTTTGAGAAGTGCAACTTTACTAAGTCCATTTATTAGCTCTAGTAACTTTGTACATTTACAAATTTGAGGGACTTATTATGTGTAGTATCACATTGCTTGTGGGTAGAGAGAGTTTTACTTTTCCCAATTTATTTCTTTTTCTTACCCAGTTGATCTGGCCAGAACCTCTCCTACAATGTAGAATCAGCAGTGGTAAAAGCAGACACTTTGCCTGGTGCCCGATCTAGGATAGAAAGCTGAAGGTCTTTCATGATTGAGAATGAGGAGGCTCACTTCTTTTTAGCATTGCACAATACTCCATTGTCTGATTCATTTTTAAGCTAAAATATTTGCTTTGCAGGGAATATATTTATGATGAGGAGTGAAGTATTATTTTGATATGGTTTCTAGTTTTCTTTTCTTTTTTTTTTAAAAGATAATAACCCAAATTTATTATTAGATTTCATTAGAAACATCAACGGGGAATGAAATGTTGTAAATAAAAAAGTAGGCAAAAAATAGTGATATAAAGCAAATAAATAGACATGCAAGTGTGTCTCCTGGAAGAAGAATCCGTGGTTGAAAAGACACCTGCCTGGGTGATGCTGGTGGGCACTGCTCAGTGGTCAACCCTGGGAGCCGAATGAATGAATGGCCATCAGCAGAGGATGCGGGACAGCTGTGCTCCACCCCCATGACGGTGCCAACACTGAGGAGGAGCAGTGTGCAGGGATCCCAGCCTGGTGTTACTGCTTGAAGAAGACCTGCCGGAAACATTTACACCGAATGGTTCCAGTTCCACCCTCTCTACTCCACCAGGGACAAAAAGCACGTGGTCAGCTTGGGATGAGAGGACGGGGGGGATTGCAGCGCCACTAGAGACGCTCCCAGGTGATGCGTGAGAGTGTTCTGCACCGCCTCTGGGTGGGAGGTTTCACAAAGACTGCTGTCCCCTCGCACTGTCTCTGCACTGCATACTGCACTTTGGGTTGAGTTCGGTATCTGTGCTTAAGTAGCTATCCATGTGCACTTGAAAGTTACGACCTGCTGTGAATCCTCCACTCCTGGCCACCCAGGGGTTATCAGCTGAAACTTTTGTATCCTTTAAAGAAAATTATGTTGGACATTTTGGGATCATCTCCATAGTCCCTATTGGAATTGAAAGGCAATTGAAGTCAACCCAGGAAAGAAAATCATCCTCAAATCCATCCGATCTCTAAGTGCTGACATGAGCACTGCCTTGAGAGAGAATGGACCCTTTGGATGGGAAAGCACACTTCTCCCTGTGCCTGCTGCATCTTAAGCATCTACACATTTGCCGAATTAAAACTTCTGATTCATCAAACTCTAACATCACAGGCAGCTTTTCTGGTTTCTCGTTGCTCTTTCTCAGGAGCACACAGATAGATGTGTTCCACCGTGAAAGGAAGGGGCCCCGGGGCCGTCTCATCAGAGGGCGCGGTTTTATGACCCTAGCACTGCGACCTCACTTCCTTGGCGACAGGTCCAAACAGAACTCGGAACCCTGGAGTCACTGGGCACCACAGTCCAGCGACGGCTGCCTGACAGTCACTTGGCTGGAGAGAGTCAGCAGCGATCAGATCATGCTGTGCTGCTTTCCCGGGCCCTGAGGCCGCAGCAGGACCCCGCACAGGGAAAGCACTTGGGCGTGAGTGAGAGGATGGATGGCTAAGTCCCCGTGCTTCGGGCCACTCACCAGGAACTGCCTGGCCTTCAGGGGCAGCACAGGGCGGGTCTCCCCAGACCCGGAGACCTGGGGACCTGAGATGAGCGGGAGCCCAGGGCAGATCTCCCTGGACCTGGGCTCCAGACTCTCGGGGCCACCGAGTCCAGGACAGGTCCAGTCAGGCCCGGCCACCACTGTGAGTCCCCTGTGTAACTCCCGCCCGGCTTCCTCACTTTGTGGAGGGTGAGGGACGGGGTCGGGAGGGAGGCTCCTCCTGGGCAGGGGCAGGTGTGGGAGGCTGTGAGCCGGGGCCCTGGCCTGTGTCCCCAGGACAGGGCTGAGAGGAGGAGAAGGGCCGTGCCCAGTGATGAGCCGCAGCCCACAGGGCCTTCTCCTGTCCTCTGGGGTAGAAGCCTGAGACAGAGCTGTTTGTGTTTCAGGAGCACAAGGTTACCCGAGGCAGAAACAGCACAAACTGGGGTCAGGCAGAGCCTTGTGCTTGCTGCCGGCTGCCGGGCACCGTCCCCACAGAGCTGCACACAGGACACTGTGTCACTTCCATCCTGTCACGGCTTTATTCTGCCATGTCACCTCAGGGCAACTCCTGGGCAGGGCCCATGTGGTACCCACAGGGGCTATGGGACCTGCAAAGGTGGCAGTGAGCACAGCTGGGCAGCCTCTCAGGACCAGGAAGTGGGCCTGACTTTTTCTGAGCCGTTAACAGACACTAGGGACAGGCTGGCCTCGCAGGAGGCCTGGAGCCAGGCTGAGCCTCGGTTTCTCTCTCCACCACAGGACCTGAGGGTGGGTGGGCTCTTCATGCCCCAGGCCATGACCTCTCCTTGTTAAAGAGCCATGAATTGGTAGCATTTCTGTGTGTCCCTTCTGAATTTACCTTCTAACACGCATCGCTTTTCTGCCGGGCCCACTTGTGCCCCTTCTGGTACGAGCCATGATGGCGACTTGCCGAGTGGTCTGGGCTTCGGCCTCCAGCCCTCCTGATGGCCTGGGTGGGCCTCAGTTCCATGTCTCCCCTCTGTTCTGTCACAGATTGGGGCCCAATGGGAGGAGAGCCGGGCAGAGGACTGCATGGTGAGCACGGCACTGGCAGGCATGCAGCCGTCCCCCGAGGGAGGCCCCGGAATGGGACTTCCTGCACAGCCACCCCATCCAAGTGGACTCCCACCTGGACCCCTCTGGGACCTGGATTCTTGCCCTGCAGGAGGGGATGGTGCTAAGGTGAGGTCTGTGGTCAGCACCCAGGAGCAGTTGGCCACTGTGGACCCAAGTCCTTGGAAGGTATGAGGCCTGCCTCAGCCTGCTCACAACTCTGAGCAGCAGGGCACTGAGAAAATCGGGCTCTCGGCATCACTGCGGGGCAGAACTGGGGTCTCCAGGGCAGTGCTGACCCGGGCCTGCTGGATTCCCTTCCATCCCTGGCCAGTTGTGCTTTGCCCCACTGAGCCCTGCACAGGGGAAGGCTGTCCATTCCCTGTAAAGGAGACCGCAGAGTGACTCGGCAGGCCTCTGGTCTTCCCAGAGCAGGAGTCTGTGGGGATGTGAAGGGCCCAGGCCCACTGACATCAGGGAAGAGCAGGTGGGGTCCCCATTCCATGGACGTATGTGAAGACACACTGTTTGCAGACCTTTCCCAGGGCTCGGCTGTGATCGCCAGTAGCCAGAGCAGATGCAACCCCTGCCCTCTGGGCCCTCAGTGCTGTTTGGGGTCCTCAGTCACCCTGGACAGCTGAGTAAGCATTCCTTGCACTGCAGTAGATGGCACTTTCCCGGCCTCCCTAGATGTGGAGCCACAGCAGTGCAAGAGGAGCCCAGGAGCGGCACAGACACCGGGCAGCACAGCGCTGCAGAGCTGAAGCCTGAGGAGAGGTGGGCGGGACAGATGCCCACTGTCCCCCATGTCTCAGATCGTTACAGAGCAGTGGCCCTGTGCCCTTGAGTGTAACACGCACAGACAACAGATGCTGTCCTCATGCGGCTG